GGGGTGGGGGGCGGCCTGCGCCCGCAGTGCTTGCCCGCCAGCGTGGCCCTGGGTGGCCCGGCCCTTGCCTGCTCCCCAACCCCTCAGAAGCCCACGGGAGGTGAGCGGTGGGGCTCACTTGTCCAGGTTCTTCAGGGAGAAGGGCTGCGTGGAGAAGCGGATGTAGCTGTTGCGGTAGAACCACACGGTGAGCGGGTTCCAGTTGGTCACCAGGAACCACTGCCGCAGGTCAAACTTGGTGCCGAAGATGAGCAGAGGCCGCTCGATGTACTTCTGCACCACCCACTTGCCGTCCTTCACCAGCATGGGGTTGCAGTCCACGAGCCTCAGCACCTCCTCCAGGTGGTCCATGCACGTGATGCCTGGGGGCGGGGCTCGGTCAGGCCGGCCAGGAGGCCTCTCCCCCACAAACAGGGCGGGGGCCAGGCTGCCTCCTCCCCTCCGGGGCCCTTCCTGGGAGCTGCCAAGCAGCTGACTTAATTCATTTCTGGATTAGCCACTTCTGTTTGCCTGAGAAGGCTGTGGGGCCGGGGGACGGGCCCCGGCTGACCCCCACCTCGTCCGCGGGACTTGGCTCCCGGTTTCACGATCCAGATGTTGCGGGCTCCTTCCATGCCGATCTGAGGCACCACGGCCCGCAGCTGCTGCAGGACGTCTTCACAGCGCTGGACCTGAGACTCCAGGTGCCGGAGCTCTGCCCCCTCGCTGCGGGGAGATGATGCACACACAGAGCTGGCCTGGCCTGGCGGGCAAGGCTGGGACGGACACAGCCCCCGGCCACGGTCCAAGCGGCCTCGGCCGTGCCTCCCTCCAAAGCCCGGGCAGGTCTCGCAAGCCCCCAACCCCACCCGCAAGCTGCTCCCCAATTTTAGCCCAAACACACCACCAGCCCAGACTGCTCGCAGGGGAGACGGGAACAGGCCCCGAGTGTGCCAGCGTCACCCCCACCTCTCTCTACGTGGCGCTAAACGCGCCCCTCCCGGAATCGCCTCAGCTCGGCGTCTGCGAGCACGGAGTAGGGCCGCCCGGCACTGCCCCTGCTCTGGCCGCCCAGCGGCCGCTCCTCGTGGGGATTTCGGGAAACTGCAGCTTGGAGAGCTGACTCGGGCCCAAGGCCACATGTTGTATTAAGGGGAGAGCCCGAGTGCAAACCCCTCCCAACCCATCCCTGCACCTACGCGCTTTGGGGCTCATTCCCCCCGGGACCCAACACCCGCGGCCAGTGGGCCTGGTCCTGAGGGAACACACCTGGGCCGCTCACGCCCTGCTCTCCTGCCCCCCCATTTCCCCCCCTCCCCAGCCCCTGGGCCTGCCGGGCCTCAGGCCCTAGTCTGCTGCCCCCGCCCCTCTCTTACTGGGCCTCCCTAAAAGCCAGCTGGGGGACGGGCCGGTAAGTGAGCACTTCGGCAGCGGCCGGGCTGTGCGGAAGGAGGCTCACGGACAACGGGAGTCTGTTCCCTCCGGGACAGAACGTCCCACATGAGGCCAGGTCACGGAGTACTCCAGAGGGAGCGCAAAGTCCCATTGGTGCCCTCGTGGTCGGAGGGAAGGAGCCCCCCGACCCCCCCCCGTGGCTGAGCCCGCGGGGACCTAACCAGGCGGCCGTGGCCCCACCCAGGCTGACGGAAGGTCCTGGTGGTGCAGCTTAGGAGTGGCCCACCTGCGCCCCGACCCCCCGCTGCCGGAAAGGGTGCCAGGAACTTCCCCACGGGCCACCGCATAGAGTCCTCTCAGGAGTGCTGTGCTTTGGCTCAGGTGAGACCCGCGTGGGAGGGGCAGGCCGTGCGGGCTGCAAGGTATGTGCAGCGTGATGACAGCACCTTACCTGCGGTCAAAGGCAAAGCCAGGGCACAGCCTCGATACAGCTGGGGAGCCGCGAGCTCGCCTTCCATTCTTTTCAAATTATTCTAATGTTTTTATGTTTGTGTGTGTTTTCCACTGAGCAGAAAACCTGCTAGACCAATTCTGGAAGCTCTGGAAGACCCAGGGGCGGTTTGCAGAAGCTGAGCACACACTCGCGGGAGTCCGTGGGCGCCCATGCACCCCTCAAGTCCGTGCGGTGCAGAATTTCACACGCGTGAGTCTGCGCGGCTCCACAGCCAGACCCAACTTGCCCCTTGCACAAGTACAGAAGACTCAGCGTCTCCACCTGGAATGTTCTGACTCGGTCTTGATAATGCTCCGCTGAACCAGGGCACACGTGAGGGCCTGGAAGCCCACGGAAAGCTCGCGATTTTGCTGTGTGAGGCTCGGGAGCGAGATTTATCAGGAGGGGGGTTTCTCAGCGTCTCGCGTACTCATTTACCAATTCTCCCGTCTTCTCCCCTCAGTCCATGTGCCCACTCCCTCTGTCACCCCCAGCTGGCCTCTCCTCTTGAGTGGGGTGTCCCTGGGGGGGCAGGGTCTATGCCTATTTCTGGACCCTGCACGGTGCTTGGCACACAGGCGTTCTCCCGCCCACAGGCCCTCACCCGCAGTCTCTCTCGCCCAGCTGGGCTGAAGGGGCTCCCGTGCTCCCTTCCGCTGCTCAACCACCTCTCCCCAGAGCTGTTCTGAATCCCAACCGTCCAGCATGCTTGGGGGGACTGGGGCCACCCAGCACACCTGCCTCCCCTGGGGCTCACAGCAGCCCCGGGACTAACAAGCATCAGGACCCCTGTCGACTTCACTTGGTCTAGCCTGGGGTCTCCCCAACGCGAGTGACCACGAAGCCCTTTTTCCAAAAAACCACTTTCTCCCCAGCCTGAGAGCTGCTTCCTGGGGACCTTGCTTCGGGCAACACCAGCCTCCCGGAGGCGCCAGAAACTCGCCGAGCGCCTAGTCTGGGAGTGAACCGGGAGCCTGTGCGGGCACATCCTGCCCTCCGTGTAGCCTGCCCCGGAGGGAGGCCGGTTTTGACGGCTACTTCCCTCGGGGGAGGTGAAGCGCTCCAGGATGGGTGAAGTGGCCGAGGTGGCAAGGCCAGGATTTAACTCGGGCCGAGTGGACAGCACAGCCGGACTGGGCCAGGCCGAGGGCGGGCAGAGCGGCTCAGACCGCACGGAGGGTCCTTGGCGGGAGCAGCGGGGTGAGGCGCGCGCTGCTCAAGCCGGGCTGGGGGCAGGTGGACTTGAGGCCTCTGCACTTCCGCGGCCTCCTTCCAGCCCTCCCTCCGGCCTGGCCCCGCAAAGGGAGGCTGGGTGAGGGGAGGGGCCTCCCCAGGCAGGGAGGGTCGGGCGGCCCCAGCTCAGCGAGCGGCCTCCGAGGCGAGGCCCCCGCGGGGCCCAGAGCCCGGGCCAGCGGGTACTCACTGGACCACCTGGTAGTAACGCTGCAGGAAGCGGGACCAGTGCTCAGGGCCGAGCCGCTGCGGCACCTCCAGGTCCCGGTCGATGTCCACGTGGGCCAGGCTGTTGAGGTGTTCCTCGCAGGCCCACAGGGCATCGTCCACGAACTCAGGGGACACCGCCTCTGGTGGCTTCTCCTGCTCCTTGGGCTGCTTCTCTCCTGCCGAGACAGGGAGGGGCCTGTCGCCATTCCACAAGGCGGCCGGTCCCCACGGCCCCGCGCTGTCGTCTACCTGAAGCCTCAGTCTGATGCGCCTGAGGCCCAGCACAGCCTGCCAGAGGCTGTCACTCGTCTGAGGCCTAAATGCGCCTGCAGCTCGAGGGCTCCTGGTCGGCCCCCAGAGTCCCAGGCCCTGCCAAACCTCAGCTCTCCACTGGATGTCCCCAAAGCACCGACGGCCCCAGCACCCACCTGCAGCCTCCTCCGCTCCTGACACTTCTGAGGCCCCCGGGCCTGGGTGTTGGCACACGACACTTGCACCTGACACTCCCGAGAGAGAGAATCAGGGAGGTCTCCAGGGAAGAGGCGGCTTCCCCGCCTCCTGGCCGAGCCGCCCTGCCCCACGCGTCACTGGCTGGAGGCTCCCGCTTACAGGACGAGGCCTCTGAGGTCGGAGACGCGTCCACAGAGGGGACGGGCGAGGAGCAGTGGGCCAGCATGTCTGGGGGTTTCTCTGTGCCCCCCGTGAAGGCACAGGGTCCTTAGACCACGTCTGGGCTAATCTCACTGCTTCTTCCTTCTCAGAGGCCTGAGCTGCCCGTGGGCAGGCCTGAGCCTTGCAGGCACAAACCGTGCTCAGTCAAAGCCAGGCCTGCGGGGGGCGGGGCCGGATGAGGCCCCCGGCCCATATGGACAGGAGGGTGGGCACGTGGGTGGAACAGAAGCGCGGTGAGGGAAGGAGTGGAGAACAGACAGACGGTGGGTAGGATGGGAGAGCAGGTGGGCAGACGGGAAAATGGGTCCTGGAAGGACCGACAGGAAGGTGGGGGTGGCAGGGGTGCGTGCGCTGGACATCTGGTAGGTGAGTAGGTCCGCTGAGGCGGGTGAGGTGGGGGACACGAACGGGGGGAGGGGTGAACGCGAGGCAGGTGGGAGGCGCTGGGGAGGTGGCTGGATCGGCAGCAGGATGGGTGGGCGGACCGGTGTGGACAACGCACGGGTGGGTGGACAGACGGCAGGACAGGGGTGGAGGGGCCGCAGCGCTTACCTGGGGCCTCGCCCTCCTCCACCGGGGCAGAGCACGGACTCCATTCGGCCTTGACCACCAGCTTGAGAACGCTGCGGGCGGCTGTCAGCCAGAAGTCCTCTGTCCCGGGCAGGGATACCCTGCTCAGGCCCTAGGCTCCAGGCCTGTTCTGGTTCCGGAACCTAATCATGACCCGCCCTGTTCTGGGACCCTGGCTACCTCTCCTGGTTCTAGAAGCAGGTGGAGTCTGCTCCTGCTCCAGGTACAGAACCACACCCAGAATACCGCGGGCTGGGCCCTCGCACGGGGCGGGCGGGTCGCTCTCCTCGGACCCTCATCCGCTTCCGATGCCCATTCTGGGCTGCGAGTGAGACCCAAAACCTCACTTCTGAGATTTGGAGACGAATCTGCTTCCAAATTCTGGCCTTGAGCATGTGTTCTGGGGTTAGAGCTGCTTTAGAAGCCCGGCGTCCGGGACCTGCGCTGGATTCAAAGCTCGTCTAGCCAGGGACACCTGAACTCGGATTCACAACTCAACCGCTTGCACATGTACACCAACTTCGGCAGCGTCGCCGCCTCCCCACGCACTAAGTTGTCTGAGGGCCTCACGCTGGGGAAGGCGGATGGCGTGGAGGGGGCAGCCTGCTGCGGCAGGGCCGGGCCTGGGGGGGCCTGCCTCTGGTGGGGGGGCGGCCGAGAGCGGCTTCTGTCCCGCCGCCAGGAGCAGGGCAGGGCCTCCTCACCTATGAAGGCCTTTCTGTCGTCCTCGGCCCCCAGGCGGTAGCAGCGGGGGAAGAAGGAGTCGGCGTCGGCCTCGTCAAACCAGGGCAGATTCCGGAGGTTGAGGCACAGACCCACCTGCGGAGTTGGCCGCTGAGGGGCAGGGCTGGACTTGCCCCGGAGCCTCCAAGGGGCTCCCGGCACTGGCCTCTGGGCCCAGGCAGCCTCCCCTTGCTCAGGGGCCCCCAGATTGGCCGGCCCACACACGGGGCTCCCCGGCTGAGACTGGCCCGCTGGCCCTTTCGTGTTCTTAAAGTCCCGCCCCTCCGGAAACCCTGCCGCGCCCACGGTGCTGGGTTATTGGAAAAGTCCTAGCGCGCTTTTGCACAGTAAAGAACAACTGCATCGTGACTTTCCCACAACGCAGTGGCCGGCCAGGCCACACGGACGGTGGATCAAAGGCCCTGCGGCCAGGGGACTGAGCACGTGGTACGGAGTTTGCATAACCAGGAGTCGCCTAGTGAGGCGGGACCCCAGGGCCCCAGTTAGGGGGCCCCCGGTTTTGGCCACAACCCAGAAGATAGGTCTTACTGCTGTTCACTTAAAGCTGAGGAAAGGGAGCTCAGGGAGATGTCTCTCGCTAGGAGACCCCAGTCAGACGCAGGGGTTCGCGGCCTGGGGCACCTCTCGTCATGACTTCTACCTGGGTGGGCTGGACATTCTGGGGGGCCGGATTTGAACCCGGCCCGTCAGACTCCACATTCCAGCTGGGAAGCCCCGTCCTGAGGAGCCCTGACACGGAATGTGGAACACGGGGGCCCTGGTGAAGGAGGGGCTCTGGGGGGCTAGAAACTGCCGCGCCCGCTCTCCTGGGGGCCCACCTTTGTGGTGAAGGAGCCTGCCCGGGCGTAGTGGTTGATCATCTGATCCTTGGCCAGGAAGCGGCCCTCCAGCACGTCCCGCCGAGTGGTCCAGATAAAGTAGGGGATCTCGTTCCGGACCATGCGAGACTGGGGGGAGACGGAGCTGGAGGGGGAGCTGGAGGGGCAGCGGGAGGCCTCGGCAGGTGGGCACCGAGGCTGCCCAGGTGGGCCCGGGCCCGCATGCTGGCTGTGGTAAGTGGGCCACAGAGAGCAGCCCCGTCAGGTGCGCCCGGGCAGCCACCAAGTGGCCTATTTAAGGGCCCCTGGACACCCAGAACCCGCTGGGTGGAGGGCAGTGGTGCCCCGCTGGCGACGTGTGCTCACCGCTCCCCCTCGCCTTGTCACACCTCGTCCCCTCGCCTACAGCGTCACACCTCGTCCCCACCACGGCCCGGGGGACAGCTCCTCATCCCCATTCCATAGATGAGGAACCGAAGCACGGAGACTTTCCCAAGGACTCTCAAGGTCAGGCTCTGGCACTCAGCCTCTCCCCGTAACCGCCGGGGTGCCCGCCCTTCACATCAGCCCCTGCCAGGCTTTGAGAGTCCTCCCTTGCAGTGCTCACGGCCGAGGGCACAGGAAGGAGGGGAACGTGCGTTTTCACGCAGCGGGGAGGGACCGGGTGTGGGGCTGTGCGGCTCCCCTGGCCCAGCCGGGCACCGATCCCCGGGCCAGCCCTGTGTGAGGCCCCCTGAGCCCCTCGCGACACTGCTGCGTGTCCAGCCATCGGGGACGCAAAGTTTCACTCCAGAGAGGAAACCAGGGCCTGGCTGAGGCACCCGCTGGACTCCAGCACGCTCCCTCCGCCGGAGGGCCCGGCCCCGGCCGCTCACCATCAGCGCGTGTATCCGGTCCAGGTCATCGAATTCCAGTAAACCCTCGAAGTCCAGCAGCGGTGACCGGAGCGCCTCGCCCTCATCGTCATCCCCTGTGGAGGTGCCGTCCAGGCCTGATGGGGCCCCTGGCCGGGCCCAGGGGTGTAACCAGAGTCCGGCCCCCGCGACAGTGGGGACAGTGGCGGGGGAGGGCGCGGCTCACCGTCCTCTGTGGCGTCGCTGTCATCCGTGGCTAAGTCCTCCAGGCCCTTGTGGGGAGGCGGCGGGGAGGCGGCGAGGGGCCGGGCCACCTTCTTCTCCACCCAGCCCCTCCGGCGCAGGAGGCTGCGGATCACGGGGTAGCGGCCTTGGATCATGAAGATCTTCTTCTGCTGCAGGTGGGGAGAGACTTGCCCGTGAGCACGGCCTCGACGCACCGGCGGCGCAATCAGCAGCACAGCCGCTGCCGCTCAGGGCGCGCTAACGTCTCTTCCGCATCTACGACGTCCACGCGCTCGTATCCACTTCTATAAAACTTGAATCAGTATCACCCCCTTTTAATCGACTATGACACACCAGAGAGAGGTCGGGTCTCCTGGCCACACAGTGCTTAAAGTGACAGCAGGGGTGGCTGCTCCAGAAACATGGGGCCCACAGAAACAAGAACTGCGGTGGCCAGGGAAATCTCAGGACCCGGGAAGCGCAGAGCTGAGCCAGGGGCAGCTCGGGGCAGAGGGGAAACACGTGCAAAGGTCCTGAGGCCGGAGAGAGGCCGGAGGGCGTGCGCGTGGTGTACAGAGCACGCGGGGTCCCGGGGCGGCGGGCCTGAACGCGAGCCATCTGGGGGTCGGGCAGGCGGCGGCCACATGGGAAGCATGGGAGGCAGGAAGGCCGGCTGGGGGGCAGAAACCACTGTACCAGAATGGGGGTGGTGACTGGAAATGGGGAGATGCTGCGAGAAGGGAGGCTCCTTTTGGAAACAGGGACAACTGAAGGGATGAGCTTCGTCAGCGAGGAGCAAAGGACAGATTTGGGCAGCCAGGTGAGGGGGCAGGTACTGTGGAGGAAGGCAGGCTGGGCAGGGGCATCAAGAGAGGGGCCTGAGACATGCGCTGCAGTGCCCGTCAGATCCCTGGGTGCAGAGGGCAGGGCGGGCTCCCGGAGGGTGCACACAGGTGTGGAGGATCCAGGGGCCGGAGCCAGAGCCGGTGAGCGGCACCCGGAGGGCACAGGAGGGCTGTGTGCGCCCAGGCTGAGTGTGGGGCTTCGGGGGTTGGCAGCTTGAACAAGTGGTTCTTTTTTTTTTAAGATGTATTTATTTATGCATACAGAACTGGGGTGCAGGGCTCTCCCTGGTGGTGCAACGGGTTAAAGCACCGCAGTATGAAGCTCCCTGAAGCCACTGCAGCACGAGTTCGATCCCTGGCCAGGGAGTGACCCCCAGGGCGCAGCAGACCTCTCTTGACTGCCCCCTCAGCCGCTGCTCCCCTCAGCAGTGTACTTCGTCCATCTGCCCGTTCTGCTCCCCGCTCTGTCTCTGGTGAAGCCTTTCGCCCACCACATCTCTGGCTTGTACCCAGTTCTGTATGCATAAATAATCTTAAAATTAAAAAAAGAAAAAGAACTGGGGTACAGAGATACAGGGATGGTGGGGGCGATAGGATTCCCCAGAGACAGAGCGGGGAGCAGAACGGGCAGGCTGACTAAGTCCACAGCTGAGGGGAGCAGCGGGGAGACAGGAGGGGTCTGCGGCGCCCTGTGGGTCACTTCTGGGGCGGGCGTCGAGCACTGAGGCTGTGGCCACTCGCAGAGCTGAGCTCTAACCCACTGCCCCACCAGGGAGGGCGGCCACAGGGCCCTTGGTGGGGCAGAGGTTTGCCCAGGGAAAGGGTGCAGAAATAAGGGAGAGGTACTGGAAGATGGGTGTGAAAATCCGGGCTTATTGGTCCTCGGAAAGGGCGCAGGGAAGCAGACAGAATCACCCCCAGACCCTTCCCAGATGCACCCCCGCCCCCGCCCCCCACCTTGACAGCTCGTTCCACGTGGATCTTGGCCTTCCTGAGCCGGCCCATCTGCTGCGGTTTGGCGAACCCCCAGAGGACGAGGGAACCTGCAGAAAGATGCGGAGCGGGGTGGGCTGGGCGCGGGTCGGCCCGGGGTCTCGCGTTCCCCATGCCGGGACGCTCCTCTTCTGCACCCGGCACCGAGGTCCACCCTCTGCGCGCTTCTCCCCGCCTGCCCCAGCCCCCACCACAAGGCTTCTCGTCCTGGCCGCCGCCTCAGGCCAGAACGAGGAGCCTCACCGTCCGAAGCCGCATCCCTCGGGGCCGGGGTTTGCGGGAGCCCCTGGGGGCGGGGATCCGGGGAGCAGTGGGGGTGGGTGCCGCGGGCCCGCGACTCTAAGGCGCAGCCCAGCCAGCGCGCCG